TCGGTGTTGTGCTTGGAGTACATTGTATCGTTATCAACATAATGTTCTACATCCATATTGCATAAAAGAATAGGAAACATGATCGGTGAAGGATGACATCTAGCATAACTAGTATGTGCTCTCCATTTAGAAGAGGACACTATGTTATGAGATTAACTTAGCTTTAAAGTAGGAAGCTCACCAAACTTTGAGTCATGAAACATATATAGACATCAATCACATATTCGAATCCTAGACAAAGAAGGAGCAAAGCGGTAAGTGACCATAAAAAACATAATATAATGGTTTTACGCATTAAAGTCAAATTAAAGGAAAAATAACTATAAGTAAATTGTGGAAAGAATCATAAAAATCACCAGTTATTCACAAATCACTAACCCTAAAGAGACCTTTGATTTTGCATATCGCAAGAAAAATCTCTCCTATTGCTCAGTGAAAATATGCTAAGGAACATACTAAAACATAATGCTAACAAACATATTAGAATAATCTATTAATATATAATAAGTATGATAAAAGAATAAAAACATTTGCAACTAATGGGAATTGTTTTTTATGGAGACACTACTACAAAACACACAAACAACAATGCCAGATTTACAACAGATTCATACATTGTTGAAATAGGTTAAAATTTTCATGCCCAGTGAGTGGCTGAATTTATAAACAGTAATTTAATGACAGTTGTCTTAAAACACCTAGTAATAAATGATGTGTAGCAAGCTTCGTTTCCCAACAACTACATTTTCCATTTTTTATAGTACATTAAGCGTGTGACACTAAAGTCTATTACTTAAAAAATAAATTGTAAATAATTTTAAAACGGTGAAGTAAACCAACTGTTGTTAGAGGACTTACAATTCCACTACGGTTGCGTTGTCCAACCGCGATTAAAGGGTCTACTGATAAATTTAAACAAAACTTATTATGTATTTCTTTCATAACCACAATTTTACAATACAACCGTTATAGAATTTGAAAATTGCATCACGGTTTTTCTTTCTAACCGTGATGAAAAGCGATATTTTTTAGTATATAAGCAAAAGTATCTATCGTTCAATACATAACAATCATTTCTCTCAAAATAAAACCCTAACATATGTCACTTTTCTCTCTCATAACATAACCCTAACATCCATGTCACTCTTTAAACATACTTCAACCTTCATATATGTTTTCACCAATCGTTAACTTGAGGTTCGTTCATTAAACTTATGCTTCGATTTTGTTTACGTTTCTTTTTAAAAATGGGTTCTCATTTTTCATTTGGTGAATGTTCTTATTTTTTTCAGATTTGTCTTCGCCACTGTAACAAAGAGTATACTTTGGCTATGATACATATGGATTGTGTAGCTATGAAGAAAAATACAAGAAGTATGAAACTATTGTGTAAAATTCATTCACCTTGTACTTCTTCTTCATAGCTTCATAAACTAGATGAACTTAATAACTTCATAGCTTCATCTAGTTTCTTCAAGTTTCCATCAAATCCTTCCATTAAAACTTCTCAGCAGTCCAGTTGTAGCCATGGAAGCAGACCCTCAAGTCGTTCAAGGTACACTTGCAAGTGTGGCCTCGACGCTCCGTTGATGACGACATGGACCAATTCGAACCCAGGTCTCTGTTTCTATGGTTGTGGGATGTATAAGATTCAAGGATACAAAATGATCTCACTTTGCTTGGTTGGATGAGAAGATGGATCCTATGAAGAAAAATACATAATTTCTTCACTGGTAAAGAACTTGAATGAGGAGAAGAAGATGGTTAACACCTACAAAGCTAAGGAGGACAAATTGAAATTGAAGGTGAAGATCCTGAAGAAACAGTTGAAGATTACCTGGATTTTTTTATTTGTAGTGTTCATTGAATTTGTTGTAACAACAATGACGAAATAGGTTATAGTTGATTAGGTTTGTATGTTGATCGATGGTGTAATGGTTGATGTGTTGGTTACCTTGGATTTATGTGATGATGTTATGGTGTATTGAATATGATACAATTATATGATATTATGAATATGATATAATTAATATTATTATGATAACTTTATCACAACCATGAGTTGTATTTTCTGTTGTGATACGGTGAACAATAATATAGGTTAAAAATGGGATTAATTATAAAAGCAGGATAATATTTGTTAATTCTGCATAAAATGTAACAATGGTTATATATCATAATTGTTACAGTATCTCGTGTGTTGTCCAGAAAAAAATAAATATCAAAACGTAGCAACTGGAAATAGAACTTAGGACCATTATTTTTATCACAACGGTTTTTTGGAAAACCCGTTATGATAGGGCGCACGCTTTCCAGTTTATTACAACGGTTACTGAACCGAGATTTTAAGTATCATATATACAACCACACTCTATATAACAACGTTTGGGCTCAAGTGATTATATATCTTTCTCAACCGTTGTTAAATGGATTTTCCGTAGTAGAGAGATATCTCTTCTCCTCTAGGTGTGTGTTTGATTTTGAGTGCATTATTTTTGTAAAATCGATTCTAATTAAAAGTGAATTGAATATAAAATAATTTATGTTTGAATACATTAATATAAAATTGAGTTGAACAATAAATTTTAATATAAAAATTATTTTAAAACTTAAAATGTATCAATTTTAATTTCAAGTACCACTAGTAGAGTAAACACTTGTTAATTTATTTAAACTAAGTTTTTTGATTGGTTATGTATCCGACTTATGAATAGACAATAAAGTAATAACAAGTTAATTTTACGATTTTATTAAGAAACACGTCAAAATTAAATCTACATCTCTAATTTATTAAAAAGGAAAAATTACGTGTAATACAACTATATAAATAAAATCCTAAAAGTGTTCTTTAGGTTTTGTTTGAGAGTTTGAAGAGAATATAGATGAGAGTTTTGAAAAAACAAAATAATTGAGTGAAAATACAAATGAGAGTTTTAAAAAAACAGAAGAATTGTGTGAAAATACTAGAACGATTTATGTGATGAGGATTTTGGAGGATTTATTTTTATTTAAAAACCAAAATTTTCTTAATTTAGAGAGCTAAAAAATTTTATTGAAATTTTTTTTAAAGATTTAGACAAATTATTTGAATATAATTTATGTTATTAGAGTATTCTAAAAAATAAAAAATACATTAATGTTAAATTTATTTATCATTCTATACTTTTTTTTAATTAATTTTTTTTGTATTTTAAAAAAATGATTTTCGAATTGTTTTATTCTCCTTATCTCCAAACTTCTAAAAGAAACTTTAACCAAATAAGTTAACTCTTAAATTGAGGTTAAAAAATAAAGTTGTAGGAAAGAGCACTTGTAGGGGAAGGTATCGTATAGAAAGAAAAAAGTTGGCACTTTTTTTTTTTTTTAATATTGAGAGATTTATTTTTTTTAGTAGGATCTCATCTCCTCAAAGTCTAATGCTAACAAATATTCGGTGTAAAATCCAACTCAACTCGATAATTTGTCCCAATTCAATAATTTTAAGTTAATTTTTTTTTCTATCTCATGCAGAAAATGAAAGGAAAAAAAAAGACTTTACAAAAATAAACTTGATATCGGGTTGGGACGAGTTCGGGTTGACCATCGAGTTATCCAACTCGTTCTAATATTATGAATACACATGTGATATTATTTATTTATTTAATTTATTTAATTTATTGATATATTTAAATTATTTTAAATTTCTAATACACTCTTCTACTTTCCACCTCATAATTTAATATATGCACTCAGTAAATACTAAGCACACATCTTCTCACTTACTAACTTTCACACTTCTTTAGTTCTGTTTACATCATGTTTTTTATTTTATATCTTCTTACTATGTTTTAGTGAAAATAAAAGGGTGATGACATATATAGAATTGCATCATATTTTTTATTTTTAAAAATTGACTTTAGACGTCTTCATTGTTTTTCATTCATGCTAATGATTTTATTCATATTTTTTATTTAAATGAAAATTTTAGAATATTATAATAAATTTCTTAAGTTACTAAATTTTTTTCCATATATTTCAGGTCTAACTCAATATCGTCTTACATTAATCAAGTCTAAACTAATTTATATAATATTAGTTTTTTTTTTGAATTTTCGTATAATTAAGTTAGGGTCATTAAAATAGTTGATCAAAATTTAAAACATAGTTAGAGTTAATGATAACCCTTTCCAACTCGTTCCTTCTCACCCCTATTAAATATATTCGTTTAAAATTTAAAATAATTATGTCTTATATTTTTTATTTATTTAATAGAGTTTGATATCTCTATTTCTAAAGAGAAGTAAAGTTACCTAGAACTTTATTATTACAATTTTTTGTATCTAAATGTTTAATGTATTTCACATATTTTATATTTTATAAATGTGTGTTTTGCATACACATCAAACTATACTAGAAGATTAAAACCTAACCAATACTCTTAATTATTATTTTTTGTCTCATGTTAATGAGAACACTAAAAGAGGTACATACTGCCAAAATCAAAAGAAGAAAAGTAAATTAAAGAGAAAAAGTAAAAGAGATAAAAAGAAAAAGTTTCAAATTATAAGGTAACCGTGATTATTTTTCTTTCTTTCACTTGTAAAACAGGTAGTGGTTACTTTCCCACCCACTCCATCATCACTCCAATCACCTAATACACAAATCACCAATTTATATATATATATATATATATATATATATATATATATATATATATATATATATATATATATATATATATATAAATATAATTCATAACCAATTATTTTCTTTTAAAAAAATTTCTTGAGTTTCTATAACACAATCTCTTCACTATTTATTAGAGAGAAAAAATCTATTCATCTACTAGTTTCTTTGCTACATTTGATGATATTCCAGAAGCAGAATCTCCTCAAAGAATCAAGAGGTGAAAACAAAAAAGGTTTCAATTTTAAGATATTAATATATTTTTTGCAATGTTATTTAGTTGAAAATTATAGAAGATTATGAATTCATATTTTGAAATTTTCTAGTGTTTGAGAATGGAAGTTATTGTAACTTTAGTATTAATATTTGTGGGAATTGTGATCTTGATTATATTTCATGCAAGTTTAACTGAGTGGTTTTCTAGAAGAGGATCAATGATTGATAGAAGCAAAAGAAGAATTTCCAAAATTGATTTGGAGAAGCTTCCATGTTATGATTATGTTGCTAAAGAAAATACAAGTAACACTATGGATTGTGCAATTTGCTTGGAGAATTTCACTATTGGAGATAAGTGTAGATTGTTGCCTAGTTGTAAGCATAGTTTTCATGCTCAATGTGTGGATAAATGGCTTTTGGAGAATTCAATTTGTCCAATATGTAGATCTAGGGTTTGTTCTTATGGTGGAAAGAAAGTTATGTGTAACAATGGAGGAGGAAGCATAGAAAGTGGTTCATCTAGAAATGTTGGTATAGAATTGAGAGAAAATAATCCAACAACATTAGAAGTAGAATCACAAGAACACTAAAATAGAATTGAGAGGAAGCATATATGTAATTAGTTAGTATTGTTTGTTATGTAATTAGTTAATACTTTTTTATTAGTTAGTTATTGATTATTCTTTATATAAAGTGGTGTAATCTATTTGATATAATGTTTTTTCTTATTTTTAATACAATTTTATTTTATAATTTTGTAATATTTTATCTCTTTTATATCTCATTTTCGAGCTTGTTACATTACTCTAATAAAATGTATTATCTACTTTAAGTGTCATTTACATATTTGTCTTTTCTAAAAAATATGTTATTGAATTAAAGATTGTGATTGTTTTTTTATAACTTATTTTCTTCTTCTCATTTTTAACAACTACTCAAAAATTAATAATGATGTCCATTTTGATTATAAAAATATTGAATTAATTCTATAAAAAAGAAAGAAAAAAAAAGGAAAATTGAATAGTGTCCCATTCTTTTTTTAAAAAATTTAAATAATAAAGAATGTCACTTAAAAAAATTAAGAATCAATCATAGAAAGAAACACTTGTAGAGATAGGTATCTTAAAAGGTAAAATTATTGTGTTAAATTTTGAGAGAAATATTTCTTTGCAAAGGATTACCTTCCCTTTAGTTTTAAGATTATAATCTTTTGAACATATAATTTATTTACCCTTTTTATAAGCAAAGTTTATTTAATTGAGTACATGGGTACTCTCTCCTAGATACAAAGATCCTCTTCATTTGAGAAAGTTCAAAGGACATTTACACCACTTATAAAAATTATAACATCCTCTATTCTTGTTCTTATTACAAGTCAAAGCCAAGATACTAACTTGATATTAAATACAACATCTCCCACATCTCCTATATCATTATTGAATAGAATATCATTTATTTTATCCCATAAACGCCAGCAAGTTACCATTCAAATTAGATTTTCTTTAAATTTTTGTAACTTTGCCTTTGAGTATCATAAGAAAGTTTATGAAGTGTGCACTACTATCAACTCATTCAATTTTTGAAATATTAAGCCAAATGCTCACCATTTGCCAAGTTTTGATAGAGAATGGACATTGGAACAACAAATGAGTTATGCTTTGTTTTTGTCTAAAACAAAATGCATAGACCTTGTCATGATCATTTTGTAAAATCCCTCTTCTATACATTCTCAGCGAAAATTCTTTTTTCAATTAACTTAGATACTTTGAATAATTTTTTTAGTATTGTACATCAGTGAAAATTCTTTTTTCAATTAACTTAGATACTTTGAATAATTATTTTAGTATTGTACATCAATTGAACACACATAAATCTTATGCACTAAGACTCATATTTATATTACGTCGAAATAACTATCATTAACAACCATTTCTCCAAATTTTAACACGTTTTTGCTCTGCATGTCTTCAATTCGCCACAACCTTCCACGCGTCATTTCCAAAAAAAAGATAAGAACAAAAGACAATTATTATTCTTATTTAAAATTCAAACCTCTCTTCGAATGTTAGTCTCATATAGCTTCCACCGAAATGCTAATCAAACTTAAAAATATTCTTAAGTTTCACTTTAGCATATCTTTTTCACAAAAGACCATCTTTTCGACTGAAATTTCTAATAACAATCCTGTCAAAATAAAAGAACATTTTACTAATGTTTCTTTTTGTTTGATCATATTCAACTCAAAACCTCGGCGTCGAAATTTCCAGCCAACAAATTGCCCCCCAAAAATGTCATTTTTGACTAAACAGAGAAAATGACATTTTTTAAAATTCACTTTCGACGCCAGAATCTCTTTGTTTGCTATGACGTCATAGTCATCATGACAACTTTTTCAAAACGTCTCCCCAAACCCATGCGTGAATTTTTTAAATCATCATACACATAGTTCCTAGGAGATCATGGGGTAGCTTAATTGCCACCGTCTCATCACTCGTTTCTCTAACCGACATGTGTCCTACTATGTCCTTCAGCCATTTCTGCTTGAAGAAAACCATCCCATTTCTTCAGCCTATATAAATAGCAAACATCATCATTTTCAACCCTTTTTCCACTCTCTGAACTTTCAAAAGCACATTTCTCCTAAAATCTTCATCTTTCATGCAACCAGAAGAACCATTTTCTTCAACTCCAGTTGCATCAACAATGTCTTCCATAAAAGCTTCTAAAGATTCTACTAAAAACACCAAAGATTCCAAGAAACTCGCTCCTATTCACAAGATTCTGGGTCCAACGGTTGTGGGTAATCAACAATATGTACTTGAGCCTCCCCTTGAAGAGGAGAAAAGAAGAATTTATCAATCCCAAGTATTGATCCATATCTTTGTTACTAGCCAAATATATGGTATGTTAGGACCTTTATCAAATCCTTCAGTAAATCCAACTAAACTTAAGAACTTTTTCCCAGTATATAATCGTTACAAAAAAAGACCTATGACTAGCAAGGAGGTTGAGGCTGATGAGAAATTGAAAGTTGATAACCAGGGTTCCCCTTCGACTGAGGTTTCAAAAGAACCTATCAATTTAGAGTACACGAACAACTTTAGGGTTTTTAGATCATGCCCCTTGTTTAAAGATCCCTCAGATTACCTAGATTGGTTAGGCAAAATAGAAAAAGCAAAATCCTAAGTTTGGAAAGAGATGGGAATCTTCGACATGATCCAACTGTTAGTGGCTTCTTTATATTTCTGGGATAACACCCATAATAAATTTCATCTTTCTTGTGGAATGATGACTCCAACCATGTTCAATGTTGCTGCCATCACCGAGCTTAAGCCAATTGGTGAAACTTATGACCCAAATTTCATGGTTGAGGACTCCATAGGTTTCTACACCAGCAAGGCATCTTTTACTACTTATATCGCGTATTACCATAATAAGGATTCTGACGAAGTCTCTGATCAAGAGCATGTTGCCTTCCTTGCTCTGTGGCTATCTCGTTGCGTTTTCTGCTCGAGATTACTCCAAGTAGAAAAACGGTATCTGACAATGGCGAATCAATTGCACGCTGGACACAAACTTTTTCTTAGCGAGATGATTTTGGTCAATCTCTATGAGTCCTTAGGGGAAGGTGTTACCATCGATAAAAACATCAAAACCAAAGGAAACCTGCTACTTTCCGACCCTTTCTGGCTGTTATAATTATGGTTGAATGCCACCTTTGAAGCATCTATACCAGTGCACAATTGTATCAACGCAGAAGCTGACGAAGTGAAGAATAGGAAAGTTGAAGAAATAAGGCTGACTCTACTGACCCCAAGTGATAAAGGGCTAAATCTCCAACAAACCTTCATTAAATATGTTATAATGTTCTACAAATGCTATAACTTCAACTCAAGTATGGATCCCTTCGTCGATAGAAAGCATGTCTCTGAGTGGTTTACAAGACAATTCCCTGCTCCGTCGAAAGACCAAGAAGAAGAATCTCTTGCCATTTGGGAAGCGTTCCTTACCCTCAGAATATTGGCAACAAGACTTCGACCTTCCATACTCCAATTCACCCTTGTTAGATATCAAATAAACTTAGTCTCTCGACAATTTGGACTTATCTAACTCATGCCATAGCCTCTATTCAACGAGAAGAATTTATTGGTTCTTTACAACATAATATACACAGAAGCTCAATGCAATAATGATATGGCTCGCTATGTTGGCATCACGCAACTTACTCATATTTCTTTTAAGACTTCGCTCCTTTGCACTAAGGAGTTTGATACTCGGTGGAGAGGTTATTACACAACAAATATTTTTGAAGTTGATGCATTCAACCAACATCTAACTCATGCTTTTTCCTCTGTGCAGGAAAGAGTCAAGAAAGGTACTTCGACCCACATCAAAGAAATCCAAGCATTCAAAAAGTACTTTGAAACTGCCTACAGACCTAATGATCTTAGTCGAACCATCTACGAAGCAGCTGTCACCTTAAAAGAAAAATTTACAAATAAAATGGAGGATTTAAAACTACCTTTGTACGTTCGACCTAAACAACGGTATGAACTAGATTTTAACATGTATCCCCTCAAATTCCTCGACTGCCAAATGCTGAATTTGGGTGTGGCTTTTAGCCTTCCATTTCTAGACTGGTTCGTATGTGGGGATTTTATAAAAATCCTTCAACATGAATCTCAAAAACGCGCCAAACGAGTGGTTCTGACTAAGCACACTCTAGACAGTTTCAAAGGGCACCTTCATATTGGTATAGAACACGTTCGTGTCGAGTCTCCAATATACATAGGTGTGGAATGAGAGGCTTTTCGACTTACCTCTTTATCAATTCCTTATCTCCCTTTTACTTGTAATAACTATGTTGATTCTTTTCATCTATGAGGATTCCTCCAAATAAAGCCACTACAGAGAAAGGTGTCGCCGAAGAAAAAGATAAGGAAAAGTCTACTAAAGCACCATCAAAGGTAGAATTCGCCTGTTATTACCATTATCCTTTTATAGTGCCTTTGTATCTTAACATGTGAAATGTTTTTTCTTTCAGGCTAATCGAAGACCACCACCAACTCCAAAGAAAAGAAAAAATAAGAAGCTGAAGTCCAAGTGATTGAATAAGATGATGAAAACCACTCTTCCGACACCTCCAGACAGCCAAAAAAAGAGACTAAGGCAGGAAAAGATATTTGATGCCTATTCTCATCCTAAACCTAAAGTTAGCAAACCTCAGGCGAAGAAATCCTTTACTCCTAAAGTAGTCGAAGCTGACCCAGATCCAAACATTAAGGGTCAAACAACAAAGACAAGTCCTGATGGTGTCGAAATCCACAACTCTAACCCTGGGGATGAGGGTCCTAAGGTAAACATTCCAACTTATTCTATTATATTTTTAATTGCTTTATACATTAAATTTTGACTAACCCATTATTTGATTATTTTTTAGGGTGTCACAAAGGGTACAAAACAACCCACAATCAAACAGAGCATGCCTACAAGCAACAAAGATCTTATTTATCATCCAACCAGCACTCCCTCCTATCATCCAACTTCTCCCAAAGATTCCAATAAAGAATCTTTGGGTGAGGTGAACAAG